AACTACGTAGAAGCTACCGGAAAGCTCGTAGAAAATTAAACACTATTAAAAAACATAACGTAACAGGAGATTTGTACAACAATGCTCTCATTGCTCTTAGAGTTGCCAGGTCCCACTACAGAGCTGCTGTGGAAAAATCCAAGGGAAACTTAATTCAGAAACTTGTTGATAAACTCGATAGAGAGGGCCCGTGGTCACCTTTGTATCACGAATTTAAGGCAAATAGATCAATCGACCTTGCATACATACAGAACATCAAAATTAATAACAGATATACCATAGGAGTAGAACAAACAGCAGAATATCTTTTAGACTCACTCGTACCTGACGATCGACCGGAAAACGACACTGATCATCACCGACAGATCAGGCAGTGGGCCATCGAACCACCACTATCTCCAATGTCTGATTTACCATCTTCAGACGAATTTCTCGGTATCATTAGATCCTTGCCGCTAAACAAGGCTTCGGGCGATGATAAAATATCTAACAAAATGATAAAAGAAGCTTGTAAACTTTCGGGTGACACGATTTTCACTGTCTTTAAACGTTGCATTGCTGAAGGAATATTTCCTCGTATATGGCGGTGCGGTAATATTCGTATAATACCAAAAAGTGGCGACAAGCCACCGGATGATCCTAAATCCTACCGACCAATCACATTGTTACCATCGTTAGGAAAGCTTTTAGAACGTCTTGTAGTGCCCCGGCTTCTGCCAGGTGGAGTCAAATTTCATGATAGATTATTTGAATTTACGTTGGGTAAATCGACAACTGACGCTGTTATATCGGTTAGAAAGTTTGTCACAGGGTCAAAATTTCAATACGTGCTGGCTATTTTCTTAGATATATCTGGCGCCTTCGACAACGCATGGTGGCCCATGCTGTTGCTGAAATTAAAATCACGGGTGTGCTTTAAAAATATTTATTCCCTTATCTCTTCGTACTTTTCACAAGGTACAACTAAACTAAGACTTGGTCATCATTCTGTGTCGAAGGCGCTTACAATGGGATGTCCTCAGGGATCGGTGCTAGGTCCATACTTGTGGAATATCGGCTTCGACGATTTTCTTGCGATACCAATACCATCCGGATGTACTCTGAACGCGTATGCTGATGACGGCTTATTACTGGTGGAATCTGATACTAGGGCGGGGCTTGAGAGATTAGCCAATAGATGTTTGAACTTGATATCTCAATGGGGTGAACGTAATCGCTTAACTTTTGCACCCAACAAAACCTTCCAGCTACTTTTAAAAGGTAACCTCAAATCACCGCCGAGCATTAGATTTGACAATGTTACTGTAAAAAATAAAACCACAGTGTGTTATCTAGGATTAGTTTTAGAAAGAAACTTTTCATTTATCGAACATATTAAAATAGTTAATGAAAAGTCTAAAAAGAGTTTCTGTGCATTGACAACGATATCAACTGCGACACGGGGTCTATCATTTAATACATTAAAGATCATATACGGAGCTACTTATTTAGGTTCTATGTGCTATGGTGCACCTGTATGGGCCAAAGGGCGACCGTAGGCGCTGTCCGTCGCAAACTGTTACAAGGCCAACGACTTGCACTGATATTTTTGTGTAAGGCATATAGGACGGTTAGCACTGAGGCTTTGCCGGTGTTGGCGGGTGTGCTTCCGGTCGATCTCGAGGTGCAGAGACGTGCAGCCATGTACCATTCAAGACAACAAAACATGGAATGCGATTTTTTGGGCGCGCGGGATCGCGGTAAAATTACAAGATTGCTATAACAGCAGCCCGATGTCTATAATGACCTCATAGACGAATGGCAACAACGCTGGGATGAATCATCCAAGGGGCGCCATCTTTACCAATTCTTTCCATCTGTTCGCGAACGGTTGTCGAGGATATGGCTTGAGGTGGATCACTGTGTCGCTCAATTTGTTACGGGTCATGGTAACTTTAAGAGCAAGCTTTATTCATTTAAATTAGTCGAGTCACCATTGTGTCAATGCTCAACACCTAACTCTCACTATGAACAGTCTGCTCATCATATCCTCTGGGAATGTAGTCTTTGGTATAATGAACGTAATATAATGCTGAATAGCTTGCAGGTGACATCTGGGGCGGTATACTATGGGGATCTTGTGTCAACTAGGGTGAATTTCCGTGCGTTTAGGCGATTCTGCCATACATATTATAGAAATCAAACATAGCTTACGTAGGACCCGTAATATTTGTGGCCGTGGTGCTTCCCTGTTTAAAAGGGTGTATGCGAGTGTCGCGTGAGCTATCGTACAGTGAGCACGTACATTATTTCGTAACGAGATACGGTTTTTTTTTTATTTGTGGTGTCGGTCACAAGATGGATGAAGTTAATCTTCAGGAGGATATGAGTTACTCGGAGTATTTAGAGAGGGTAGAACGAGAGCTGGGGGAATCTGGTGAGAAAAGTTCAACAACAGAAATGAATGAAAGTGTAGACAAGAATACGTTGAAAAGAAAAGAGCGAGAAGAAAATAGTGAGGAAGGCAGTTTAAATAGTGACGAAGAGGGTTTTATTACGGTTACTCGAAGAAGGAGTAAACGGTTGATCAGGAGAGATTCGTCGAGTACACAAACAAATGTGGGGGTAGATTTAGAAAAAAATAATAAAGAGAAGGAATGCGTTGAAAAGCACGAAGTACTCGTATGTATTACTTCTTTAGAATGTTTACCTAAACAGATTGCGATGGCAAAGTTATTACTATCTCAAAATATTACAGGTATTAATTACAGGTATTAAGTATAAAAAGGTAAACAAAGCAATTATTTCATTTTTTTAAAAGGAATGTGCCTTGAAATTGATGGAATGTGAAACATTAAAAGAGATGGGATTGCGTACCCAATTTACACATTAATTAAATGTGATTCATGGAGTAGTGAAAGGTATTGACCTTGACATGAGTGATGAAGAATTAGTGAAAATCATGGAATGTGAAGTTGAAATTTTGACCTTGAAGAGATTGAATAGGTTAAATTTCGATGGCGCTTGGGTGGCGAGTGAAGCGATTAAAATTTGTTTTAAGGGTGGTATTCTGCCGCAGTATATAAGTGCATATGGGTGCCGTTTTAAAGTAGATACGTATAGTTTTCCAGTGACGCAATGCACAGGTTGTTGGCAATTCGGTCACATAAAAAAGTTCTGCCCCTCTAAAAAGATTTTATGCCCCAAGTGCGGTAGCGCAAGTCATGATATCTGTGATATCAAAGTGTTTAAATGTCTGAATTGTAAAGGTGACCATTTAGTTCTAGAGAAGACATGTCCTTTTTACGTTAGAGAAAAAGAAATAAGAAATATAATGAGTAAAGAGCAGGTTACGTATAGAAAAGCCCTACAGTTGTATGCTGAAATGAGGAAGAATAAAAATAAAAGTATTCAAGAGAGGATTATCACATCAATAAACACCACATCAATAAGTACAGTCAACGACAAAAATACCTATAGTAGTGTAGTCAACAACGGTTCGGTACATCAACCACGGCTGGCAGCTCGTCAAATAGTAGAAGAAAATTTGAACGAAAGTTCCGAAGAAAGTGCTATTAATTTTAGTAAAAATTCGGTACAAAATGCGAACAGAAGATCGAAAAACGTGCCTAAAAGAGTGGAGAGTATAGATAGTTGCAGGGAATCAAATATGGAAGTTGAGTATCAAGAATTGCATAATACACAGGAAAGTAAAAAACGAGAGGCTGATTTGAAGAATAAATTTGAATTTAAGCAATTTTGGTTTAAAATTAAACGTGTTATTACGTCTGCAATTAACTTTGAAGAAAAAACATTGTTGGTTATTAAAATCATATGGGAGGAAGTAAAGAATTTTGTTGTTAGTAAGTTATTAAGAGGTGATTTATTAGAATATTTTTTTGATCTTTGTAATGAATAATACACCTGATTATATTAGGCTTAATATAGTACAGTGGAATGCTCAAAGTCTACGCCCGAAATTGACAACATTTACAGACCTTTTAACACGGGAAAATATTCACATAGCGATCATTAGCGAAACGTGGCTAGATATTGAATCCTACATAAATATTAACGGTTATAACATTTATAGAAAAGATCGAGATGACTCATACGGTGGCGTTGCTATTATTGTACATAAGACTATTCAGTCCTATTTAGAAGTATTTCATGTAAACAATACAGGTAGAGAAATGGTTTGTGTAAGGTTGATCAACTGCAAGGACTTAGAATATGTGGTTTCTGTATACTGCCCGTCTAACGTACGCACTCAAGGTTCGGATTGGGATGATATTTTTTCACATTTTTCGAGGAAAACCTTGATATCTGGGGATTTTAATGGGCATCATAGTAATTGGTCATTTAAAACTGATGTGCGTGGTTGCCAAATTATGGATTCCTCTTTAGAGAATAATTTTATATCTATTAATAAGGGTGATTTCACACGAGTTAAATTGGTAAATGGTCATGTACAACAAACTTCGCCCGACATTTCGTTTGCCTCTTCCGACGTAGCTATCAAATTTTATTGGCAAGTTAGTAATGAAAATTTGGGAAGCGATCACCTAATAATTAAGATGTCGTTAAACATCACAAATGATTTCAGGTATGTAAGAAAACGCAACTATAAACGTGCAAATTGGAATAAGTATTTACAGAATATTTCATAAAATCCTAATGTTGGTTTTCTCAATAAACACTCTCTAAAGTTTTGACTGATATTTATTACAATAGAACTTGGTTACAACATTCTGAATCACATTGTTATATCTTATAAAAATGCGAGGGAATAATGACGTTCGTAAAACCAAAGAGAACCTCGCTATGACAAGAGTGGCAGTGTTGCCACTGTACAACATCCTTTCTTGTCTATATAAAAAAAGCTAACTTCGCTACATTCACAACAACAATCACATGAAAGCTCTGCACTTTATAACGTTTTACAGATCGGAAATTTTTACAATTTTACATTTTACAATACAAAAAAACAATCAAACGAAAACTCCGAACTTTATAACTATTTACAGATCAAGCTTTTTTGGCTTGTTAATCCTTCTTCCAAACCTACTAACATGGCCCTCTTCATATGCCATACCTCTTTCCAGGGACGTTTGCTGACTTTGTTCTGTTGTATTTTCCTGTTGTCGCTTTTCTAGTTGAATCTTCTTCTTTTTCTCTGGTTCCACCTCTTCCTGCTCCACTTCTTCAACAATACACCTCTTCTCTGTCTGTTCTGGTTTATTTTCATCTAGCGTCCAATCTTCATATGCTTCTTCATCCTTAGCACTGCCTATCTCTGTCTTTCTCTGTTTCAGGTGGATTCTATTTCGGCGATATCTTCTCCCATCTACTTCCAGCAAGTAAGAGCGTGAATCTAAACGCTTCAAAACCACTCCTCGTTTCCATATTGGATCATTTATCCCACTGGGATTTAATAACACTCTAACAGATTCACCTACTCTGAGTGATGGCAAATCTTTTGCTGAACTGTCGTGTGTCTTTTTGTATCTTTGCATTTTTTTATTTAGCTGTTCATGAATTGTGTCATAGTTAACTTCCTGCTTCAATCCTTCCTTGGTGCTGCATAATGTAGTTCTTAAACTCCTACCAAAAAGCCTTTGTGCTGGACTTGTTGTCATACCTGCTGTAGGTGTGTTTCTCCATACCATTAATGCTGCTTCCACATCTTCCCCTTTTTCTTTCAGCTTCAACAGCCTCTTTACTTGCTTGACTGCAGACTCGGCCTTTCCATTGGATTGATGATGGTGTGGTGATGATGTTTTCAATGTAAAATTCCACTCTCTGGCAAATAATTTAAATTCTTTAGAGCTGTAATTAGTACCTTCATCTGAATAGATCACCTGTGGTACACCATATCTTGCAAAAATATGTTTTAGTGCTGATATTGTGCTGTGAGATGAGACATTATGTAATCTTTTAAATTCAAAGAATGATGAAAAATAATCTACCACCACCAAATATTTATGTTTATCATACTCAAGAATGTCTGTGGCTACTTCCATCCATGGCCCTTCTGGAACTTTCCTTAATTGCAGTGTCTCCTTTTGATTCCTTTTAACATCCAGCTCTTCACAAATTTCACATTTATAATATATAATATAATAATAATTTATTTTCAGACTAAGTCCATATAATTTGTTAGTAACAATCTTCTTAGTCTAGTGTTAGTAACATCAGTCAGGCGCTTGATCTCACGTGTAGGCCTATCCAGTGTGCCATCAGTGCCGAGTCCATTCGACCGGCGCTCGCGGTCAGGATGGCGCTGGGGCTGCCGCGCGCCCGTGCCATCATTGATGCACAGCGCTTTCGCATTATCGCGTGGAAGCCGTCCACGTGCGCCTCTGCAAACATGCTACTCGCGCTACAGAACCGCGGCAGCCCCATCAACACCCTGAATGCATTATTGTATTGTACACGCAGGGCGTCGTAGGTCCTCTGCGTGTAATTGACCCACAAGCTGCACGTGTAGAAAGTCTGGCAGAATGCCCTAAATAGTGTAACCTTCACTTTTTCAGTGCATCGTGCAAATCTGCGAGCCAACATATTACAGCGAACAGACAACGCCCTACGTTCCCTTTCTATATCCATATTATCTTTAAGATCCTCGGTGACCCAGTGGCCCAGATACTTGAAGTGAGTGACTCTGTTTAAAGGTGTCCCATAGAGTGATACGGATGGTATCTCTAAATAAACCTTTTTGGGTGCTCTAAACACTATAACCTCACTTTTCTTCACGTTATATCTGAGCCTATGAGCCTCAGCATATCTTTCACAAATACGTATCAGCCTGCGCAACGCCCCGATTGAAGGGCTGAGCAGCACCATATCATCCGCGTAACTAATATTATTAACGCAAATTCCTTCTATATGACAACCAATTCCGGTACTGCTTAGCTCTTCAATCAGGCCGTTCATATACAAATTAAACAGTTTCGGTGATGTCAGTCCCCCCTGACGCACCCCGCACTCCAGCCCGTACTCATCCGATGCACCATCCGCCCACCTCACAGTATTTTTCTGATTATTGTACCAGTACATAAATATGGATACAATCTCAGGAGGGAGACTAGTGTCTTTATGCATTTTTGTCCACAGTAGCTCGTATGAAACCATATCGAATGCCCTGGACAGATCCAGAAAACACGCGTATACTGGCGTTTTACGCGCGGTATAGTACTGCACAGTCTGCTTGAGGCACATGATTGCACTATCCGTCGATAGACCAGGCCGAAAGCCGAACTGACCGTCATGCAGTTTGATGTGTTTAGATAAGTGACCGTCAAGCAGACTGTCCATCACTTTCGCTATAACTGTAGCCAAGGATATAGGCCTATAGTTTGACCTGTCCGAGCCATCGCCGGTCTTGTTTTTTACAATGGGGACAACAATAGTATGCATGAAATCGTCAGGCAGGTAGGAGTGGCTAACACACAGATTAAACAGCAAAGCTAGGACTCCAGGTAAGTGTACCCCAGCATACCGTAGGTGTTCGATACTGAGGTTATCATGACCTGGAGACTTTCCTCGTTTCATAGAATGGATCGCTAAAGAAATATCCTTTTCACAGAATCTTACATTAATATCTCCATTGGCCACCGACAACGGTTCCGACTGTGTAGACCCCATAAGCGGTTCAATTCTGAAATGCTGCTGAAATAATCTAGCGATATCATTCGGCTCATGTACACCCCCGACGCTCACGGGACGACTCGGCTTCAGATTCAACTTGTTCGTTGATTTCCAGAACTTAGAAAAGTTATTATTGCAATGGTGCTGAGCTATTATATCCATCTTAATTTGTTGTTGGTTATTTTGACACCATTTCAATTTCCCCTTAAATGATCGCCTAGACTCAGCCATTTCGTTGTATATCCGGCCAGAGCTAGGTTTACCATACACTAACCAATTTTGATAACATTGCCGAGCCTTTCCGTGAGCCTCCCTAACGTATCTGTTCCAGCCTATTATGTGCTTGCCCCTAGCAAGATTTGGGGTCGCACTATAGGAGTACTCCGCGCCCTCAGTCAGTATACGCACTATTGTTTTATACATATCATTAATTAATGTTTTATGAATTATACAGTTGCACATTTTATCAGTACAAGCAGAAAGTTCCGCTGGCAAGTAAATATCTCTCAACTTGGTATTACAAAAGTTATGATACATTTCAATTTGACTATTCTGCCTTTCCCCCCACGTGACTTTACTTTTAGGAACATTATTAATTAAAATTTTGGGTCTTATTAAATGTAAATTGCAAGTTAACCGCATCGGATAATGATCAGACCAGTAGGTATCATATAGTATAGTCACGTGATCTATAGTTGAGCGCGCGGCACTCGTAACCACGCAGTGATCGAGCCAACGGCGACATCCGTGTGCCTCACTAACAAAAGTGTGTGAATCGTTAGGTAACATATCGAGATCAACACAGGACCAAGACTGTTCTGCACAAAAGTCTAAGAGTTGATTAGCGAATAACTCACCCGGATGCGCATTGAAATCCCCTAAAACGTACACTGATTCTTCATCACTATTTTCAATTATAGAATTTATTTCACTTAGACACTCCGTAAACTCGATCAAATTATCTATTGAGTCCGTTGGCATGTACAGAGATATAATTACCATAGAACGCTCACGTAATTCAACTTTAATTGCTGCTATGCGGTCACTACTGCACTGCAACACTGACACTGAGGGAAACACAGACTTCCTCCACAGCACCGCCACCCCTCCGTACGGGCGGCCTCGGAGCACGCCGGCCGTAGTGTCCACCGCAGACTTGCCAGTGAAAGCGAATTGGTCGCTGATGCTGCCCAGGAATGGTATGTCGTGTGGCAGCAGCCACGTTTCCTGAAGTGCTATAATATCCGCTGTTTCACATATTTTTCTTACACATTCCACAGATCTTACAATATTTTTGCAGTTAAATGTAACAAGTCTAGCGTAATTATTCATATTCCTATTAAACGTTGGGCTACACACGGACAATTTTTTCTCCACTGTTTATATTTTTACTTCTTGTCTTGAAGTCAACAAAACGACGGTATGCGACGCCTTCTGGCCAGAAATCATCATTCAGAAATATTCCTAGTTGATGCTTCGGTACTAATACCTTGTAGGCGTCATACAATTTGGGTATTTTCATATTCATTTTTTCTAAGTGTACAGTAACATCAGTTTTACTCTCAATATACCTCTGTATGTCACACACAGGCACGTCCTTTGCAATATTGTATATATAGATAGGAATTTTTATTTCCGCAGCTTTGAAACTCGCTTCGGGACTCAAAAGTGCCTTTCCTGTATTTGCGACAAATCGGTTCCTTAGACGTCTTCTTTGTACTAGGGTCCAACCTTTATCTTCTTTGGGTATTTTCCATTTACCATTGATTACAATATCAGCTAAAGATTTCTTTTTACCGGATACGTCGCTGTTTACGTCCGGAGCGGCCGTGTGTCCCGTTTCGCTAGTTACGGCGTTCGCAGCCACTTGCGGGTGAGTCATCGACTCGCGCTCGTCATAGGCCTCAGTAAAGCATACACTGCTAGAATTTACAAGTTGGGTTTCACCGCAAATTTTCGGACTACCCTCATTTTTAGAAAAACATTGAGAGCTATCCCGCTTGATATTTTCTGTTCGTATACCGCTAGAACTTTTACGTAAAGTGCGTTCTGTGTCTATGTATGCAAGCCCCCTAGGATCGTTGCAGTGGTCGTTGTGACTATCTAGCAATAAGCCACCTCGCTTGGTATTAACATTCCGGGCGGTACTTTCAAAATTTTTCACTACTGATGTCTTTTTTAGGTTTTCAAGATCAGATTTAACAGAATCTAGGTTTGCCTTGGTGGCATACTCTTCTTTCATCTGATTCATATCTTGCCGCATAATCATCAGATCCTTTAAAATCCGAGTAACGTCGACATGATCAAAAAGCACCGGCGGTAATTTGTGTAGATCCCGGGCCACAAAAACCGGTAAGATTTCAGGATCAGACTCTTTCAGCATGCAGATGATGTCGTCTATTTCACGTAATTTCTTCCCGTCTCTCTTCCGTGTCTTCTTACGCCTCTCTGTAGGCAGCGATTCACATAGAAGATTTTTAGCACTGTGAATGTCCTCGTCAGTAAATGCACTCACACAAATTTGACTAATACTCTCCTCGTTCATCACATCAATTTTGTTAGAAACAAAGGCAAGAACTTCGTTGATAACTATGTTACAGCTCGAACATTTTAACAATTTGGAGGCCATGATTCGACTCACACGTCTGTACGTATTTATGTACTGTATCTTTTATGTCTCTTGCCATATGTATCCAAAAAACTCTTGACCTCGCATACCTTAGACAGGCCTCCAACCCTTGGTGTCCTTTGTGAATTTTTTCTAAAATATCACCTCTCATTTTTTCGGGAATATACACCTGTTGGTTCTTTAAAATGATCCCGTCACATACAGTTAATTGCTCTCTAACTTTCCACCAATCTTTCATCAATGCTGGTAGCATCTTCTCTTGATCAGGCCAGCCATTTTCTATAAACCATTTTAATCTCACAGCAACTTCTTCTTCATTTAAATGCTCTCTAATTTCATGTTATGTTGTTGCACTAATTCCCGTTTCGGTTAGGCCATCACTTTCTTCTATAATTTTAGCCACTATAATATCCTTTTCTGCCATATCTGTAGCAGGTAGTCTTGACATAGCATCAGCAATATTTACATTAACCCCTTTTACAAAATTGACAACAATATCAAAGCCCACCAACTGAAGCAACATTCTCTGTATTCGCTTAGGTGCATCACATAAACTCTTTTTAAATATTATTTCTAATGGTTTGTGATCGGATTGAATATGGATTGTTTTTCCAAACACATATTTTTCAAATCTTTTAACACCAAACAAAATCGCCAACGTTTCCTTCTCTATCTGAGCATATTTCTTTTCACAATTAGTCAGAGTCCTTGACGCGTAAGCTACTGGATGTCCATCCTGCATCAATGCCGCACCCAAACCATATCCACTTGCATCAACTTGAATTTCAACTTTTTTTGTCTCGTCAAAGTATTGTAAAATTGGGGCCTCTTTCAACTTACGTTTGATCGTTTTCCATGCTGTCTCTTGCCTAACACCCCACGTGCTAAAAGATTCTCGCAGCGGAGCTGCAATAGTTGATAAATCCGGTACAAATTTTGCCATGTAATTAACTAGACCTAAGAAAGAGCGTATTTGGGATTCGCTCTCTGGTCTTTCCATGTCTTCTACTGCTTTAACCTTCCTGTGATCTGGCTTGATACCTTTATTTGTAAATAAGTGTCCCATATATTCTATCTCTGTTTTCCTAATTTTGCATTTTTTCTTGTTCAATTTCAAATTTCTCTGTTCTGCCCTCTGTAACACTTTCTCCAATTTTATGTCATGGTCTCTTAAGGCTTCCTCCATGGTATCTCCTTCTCCAAACACCATGATGTCATCAGCAATGGCAATAACACCTTCTATATCCTCCATAATTTGAAACATTCTTCTTTGGAATTCTTCAGGTGCTACAGACAGGCCAAATGGGCAACGCTTAAAGCAATATCTTCCATATGGTGACCAAAAAGTGGTCAGTTCTTGAGAATCAGGATGTAACTTCATTTGATGGAATCCATTTTTTGCATCAAGCACACTAAAAATTTTCGCTTTTGATAACATAGGAGTAATTTCTTCTACTGTTGGTGTGATGAAACGGTTTCGTATCAGATTTTCATTTAACTTCTTAGGTGCAATGCATACTCTGTTTCTTTTGGGTGTTACAACAAATACCATGTTTGTAGTCCATTCAGTTGGATGTTCCACCTTACGTATCACGTTTAATTTTTCCAGTCTCTGTAGCTCTTGTTTAATTTGTTTTCTCACTCCGACAGGAAACCTTCTGGGTGATTCACATACTGGGACTGCACCTTTGCGAACCTCCAACTTCAAAGTACCTATGTCCCCAATCTCACTTTCCTCAAATATTTGCGGAAAGTCCTCAATATCTATCTTATTAATCATAACCTCCTTTGCTGGGTTGATCAATCCCATTTTTAGAGAAGCGTTTAATCCTAACATAATTCATTTTTGCCGAGTTACATAAAACTTTACTTTGTATATCTTACTGTTCACTTCCATTTCTAAGATGCACTCACCCTCAACCATCTCCTTCTCACCATTGTAGCATGTTAGTACTTGGCTAGAATTACTAACTTTTGACTCACAATCCCATTTACTTATGTCTTTCCAACCAATTACATTACATGTCGCACCCGTATCTATTTGAGCTTTAAGAATCATACCGTTAACCTTCACATCTGCTAACAATTTTTGTGCTTTCCTTGAAGAAGCAATACTAAGCACACTGTCAGTTTCACTGGAACTGTCGGGCTCTTTTTCTAATTGCTTTACATACATTTTACACATATTTTTGAAATGATTGAATTTTGTACATTTTAAACACTTTTTACCATACGCTGGACACTTTTCTTTTTCAAATGGGTGTTTTCCCCCACAGTACCTACAAATTCCCATGTTGCCTCCACTTCTGGTTTTAGTCATTTTTGTTGATTTAAATTTCTCAAATTTATTAACAATCTCATCTTCGAATTTAAAATCCGATTTAGAATCTGGTTTCATTTTTTGCAATTGTTTCTCTGTTTCTTGAACGGTCATCGCTTCATCAATTACTTTTTGAAGAGTCAAATCTCTCTGTCTTAACAGTCGTTTTCTAAAATCATTGTCTTTCATACCTACTACAAATCGATCTCTTATCATTTCATCTTTTAAATCTTTGAACTCGCAACTAATAGATCTTTCTTTTAATATTCGAATAAAATTAGTATAATCCATTTGTTCATCTTGTACAGTTGAGAAAAAAACATACCTTTCATATATGATGTTTTTCTGGGGTATAATCTCAGCATCTAATCGTTTTATTATGTCATCTACTGAGGTTATTTCATCTGCTCCTATTTGCCGTAACAATCTCACCCCTTCAGCTCCAATGACTGTTTTGAAAACTGCTGCTCTTTTCTTATCTTCCTTCTTGTCAAGATCAATCGCCAATTCATAATTCTTCCAAGTTTGTTTCCACAAAACCCAGTTTTCCACAATATCTCCTTTGGACACGAACGGGACTGGAGCCGGCAAATTCATTTTGTATCTCGTTACCGTCTATTTTCTTCTGACACCATGTTGGTTTTCTCAATAAACACTCTCTAAAGTTTTGACTGATATTTATTACAATAGAACTTGGTTACAACATTCTGAATCACATTGTTATATCTTATAAAAATGCGAGGGAATAATGACGTTCGTAAAACCAAAGAGAACCTCGCTATGACAAGAGTGGCAGTGTTGCCACTGTACAACACCTAATTTGGTTAATCATACTTACGAAAACATTCAAAAAATATATGACAACCTAGTAAGTATAATTAATACTGCGGCAGATAAACACATACCTTTCGTAAAAATATGTAATAAGCCCGATAACAAATTCAAACCAACGGATTATTGGAGTCCAGAATTGTCTAAAATAGTCGCACAGAGGAGGTTGGCTTTGGTTAACTTTAGACGGAACCCTACGCCTGATAATCTTACAAATTTAGAGAATGTAACAAAAAAATCTCAAATGATAATTAGAAAAGCAAAATCGGATAGTTGGCATAAGTTTTGTGACTCCTTTAATAAACAAGTTTCAGCTTCTAATATTTGGCAGCGTATGAAATGGGTAAAAGGGTTTAAACAAGCAAAGGTGTACCCTTCTATACAAAAATGTACGGATCTATTAAATTCTCTAACTGCAGATTATGCTTCTAATTCAGAACCCATTTTCACGTCTAGAAATGAAGCTTTGGAAAAGGACTTTCCGATTCATGAACTTCAAAGCGTTTTAAAAAAGAAAGATTCATCTCCAGGTGAAGACGGTATATCTTATACCATGCTTTACTATTTACCGTGTATAGCTAAAAACTATTTACTTGCTGTATATAATATTATTTTTAAACATGGTGTGATTCCCTCTCAATGGCGAAACATCCAAATAGTTTCTATTCCCAAAACCAATAATAATAATGGTGACATTAAATTACGTCCCATATCCTTAATTTCGTGTATATGTAAAACATTTCATTTGATGATTTTTAAAAGATTAGAGTGGTATACCGAAAAAGAAAAAATACTATCACCGTTTACAATAGGGTTTAGAAAATCAAAATCCTGCTTGGACTATTTGACTAAATTAGTTACGTACACTCAGTATGGTTTTTCCAAAAATATGCCAACATTAGCTTGTTTCTTGGATATCGAGAACGCTTACAATAACATTTCAATTGATGTAGCAGTAAACGTACTTGATAAGTTAAACATCGGTTCGAGAACCTGAAAATATCTCTGGTCGTTTTTAAGTGAGAGGCATTTAAAGATAAAATTAATTGACAATAATATGGTAAGCAGATATACTAACAATGGCTTAGCTCAAGGAGATCCACTTTCTCCATTACTTTTTAATTTGGTTACGTACAAAATATGTCATAGGCTTCAAAATGTATTTGTATTGCAATACGCTGATGATTTCGTTGTGTATATTAGTAATAAGGATATTAAACTCTGTGAAATGTACGTTCAGAATGCTTTGAATATAGTAGTAGAATTACTAAAGGACCTAGGATTGGCACTATCTTCAAACAAGACGCAATATTGTCTTTTTAGCAGAGGACATAGAAGGAATTTACCTATTCTAAAAATAGACAGCCCTCTGATTTATTCTGAAAATATAAAGTATCTGGGTATGTGGCTCGATAGGGGCTTAAACTGGAGAAAGCATATCAATGAGGTGGTCGATAAATGTTCCAAATTTCTAAACATATTAAAGTTATTAGCGGGTAGTTCTTGGGGGGTACACATGACACATTTACGAAGACTATATATATCCCTAATTAGAAGTCGTATTGACTATGCATCCTTCCTATATGATTGTAGTGCTAAAAGTCATATTTGTAAACTTGATAAAATTCAGAACCAGGCATTGAGAGTGGTAGGGGGATTTATCAAAAGCTCACCTATTCATGTCATGGAGAGTGAGTTGCACATTCGCCTCTGTTTATTAGGAGACAATATCTAGCGTACAAATATTAATTAAAAATTAGATCTTGGTCCGTAAATAATATTAATAGTTTAATTTCTGAAATGAGTGCTCTGTGTCACATCAGATATTGGGCTACTAAAAAAAAAGCCTTTGCTGACACAAACATTTGAAGATATTAAACAAATTAATTGCGATTCTGTTGATATTCTTAGAATGTTTTCTTTCGAGGTTTGGTTATCGGCTATTGATTTTCAAAAATGTGTCAGTATTAATTTAGACAGCATATCACTAGCGAAATCTTACTATGAGCCTAATACTTTGATAAATAATGTTGTAGAAGAGTTAAATACGAACTATAGTGGTTGGAATAAATTGTATTCTGATGGGTCTAAGGGCGCTCATGGATTAGGTGCAGGTTTTTATGATCATAGTTGTAATCACAGAGCAGGTTTTAAAATAAGTTCAGAAGTATCTATTATGACGTTGGAACTCATTGCAATATTACAAGCTTTGTCCTATGCGTTGGGGAAAAATTACAATAAAGTAGTTGTTTTTACAGACAGTAAAAGTGCACTGCAACACGTGGCTCGATGCGCCTCTGGTTTCAGAGGTGCTTCGATAGCTTACGAAATATTAAACGTCATTTTATTGTATGTTAAAAGGAACTCGGTGGTTAAGTTGCAATGGGTTCCAGCGCATATTGGTTTACGGGGGAACGAGGAAGCGGATCGTCTGTCTAAATTGGCGGCGACGGCAGGTGTCGAATATAATTTTTTACCAGATTATGTAGAATATATATCTAAATTTAAAACTAAATGTTTTGATAATTGGAACGAACATTTTAACACTATATCTAAAGAAAAAGGAATATGGTACAAGGCAATTCAAGACGAAGTTCCTCTTATACCCTGGTTTAACTGTAGTAGGTTAAGTAGAAACTACATTAAGTTAGCTCTAAGATTGCGATCCGGACACTTTCCATCAGCAAAGTTTGCATTCCTAATGAAAAAAACAAATTCACCTAACTGTATTACATGTAACGTGGTAGAGGATGTACAACATTTGCTCATGGATTGTGTCAGGAATAAAAATGAAAGGGAGAAGCTAATGAATGAATTTAAATTAAATATTTTAGACGTGGGGTTGGTACAAACAATTTTGGCACAACCAAAATCAGAAGTGGCAAAAAGACTAAGTAATTGTTTTTTTCTTATTAGTTTTGTTTTTTATAGTTTAAGAAAGGTTAAGGAAAGGGGGTAAAACCCCATTTAAAAAAAGGGGGAAAAAAAAAAACAAAAATAAATAAAAAAAAAAGAAAAAAAAAAAAAAAAAAAGGGGTTTTTTAAATTTTTTATTTGTTTTTGAATGGGGAAAAAATTTACTTATTTTCAAAATTCCAAATTTTTTTATTAATTTTTTTTTAAAATTTAAAATTTCTTTATTGATTATTTAAAATTTTTTTTTATTTTTATTTTTTAAAGTAAATTGGGGTTGTGGTTATTGTAATAAATTAATATTATTTTTAAATTTTTAAATTTATTTTTTATAAAATATAGATTAATTATTTTTTAAATTTTTTTTAATTGGGTTTTAGTTTTAATTTAAAAACTTTTAAAAATTTTAAGATAAAAAAAAATAAAAAAATTTGGGCAGGAAAAAAAAAAAATGATTTTTGTTTTTTAAAAAAAAAATAAATAATATTTTGATGTTGTTGAGAAAAAATTTTATATAAAATTTAATTAAAAATTTTGTTTTAATTAAAAAAAATTTGGAAATTTTTTATTATAAATTTTAAATTTGTTTTAATTTTAAAAAGAAATATTGGTTAAAAAATTTATTAAAAATTTTAAATTATCATTTTTTTTTTTATTTTAATAAAGGATTTTTAAAAAAATTTTAAAATTTATTTTAATAATATTCAATATTTGTTTTTTAAAAGGGGGGGAAAAAAAAATAAAGTTTTTTTTTTGAATAAAATGTCAAAATTTTTGGTTTCAACCGAAAAAATAAAAAAGGGGTAAAATTGGTAAAAGGGAATGGGGGGAAGTTTAATGGGCCCGGGTTTTTTAGGGGGGCGGGAAACATTTTTAAAAGGGGGGGGGTTCAATTTTTTTTGTTTTGTATTATTTTTAAAAAATTTTTTTGATTTGGGTTTTTATTTAAAGGGAAAGGGGGGTTTTGGGGGGTTTTTTTTTTGGTTTTTGTGTGGTTGTTTTTTGTTGTTGGTGGGTTTTTACGTTTGTTTTTGGGGTTTTTTTTTTTTTTTTGTGTGGGAAGTTTTTTTGTTGGTTTGTGGAAAAATGGGGGGTTTTGTTAAATTTTTTGGTGGGGTTTGGTAAAAATTTTGGAAAAATCAAATTTTTGGTTTTAATGGGGGTTTCTTTTTTATTTTTTCTCATTTTGAAGGGTTTTTGGGGGCAAGGAAAATTTTGGTTTTGAGTTCCAGTGGTCCCCCCCAAAAAAAATTAAAAAAAGGAAAAAAAAAAAAAAGGGGGGGGATTTCCAAATTTTTTTTTTTCCCTTTTAATATAATTTTTTACCAGATTATGTAGAATATATATCTAAATTTAAAACTAAATGTTTTGATAATTGGAACGAACATTTTAACACTATATCTAAAGAAAAAGGAATATGGTACAAGGCAATTCAAGACGAAGTTCCTCTTATACCCTGGTTTAACTGTAGTAGGTTAAGTAGAAACTACATTAAGTTAGCTCTAAGATTGCGATCCGGACACTTTCCATCAGCAAAGTTTGCATTCCTAATGAAAAAAACAAATTCACCTAACTGTATTACATGTAACGTGGTAGAGGATGTACAACATTTGCTCATGGATTGTGTCAGGAATAAAAATGAAAGGGAGAAGCTAATGAATGAATTTAAATTAAATATTTTAGACGTGGGGTTGGTACAAACAATTTTGGCACAACCAAAATCAGAAGTGGCAAAAAGACTAAGTCAATTAGTTTTCTTCATTGATTAGTATTTCGCTTTCTCTTATTAGTTTTAAGAATGTGTTGAAGGTAGATAGCATAAGGCACGATGGGGTTGACGTATCCATGTGGAT